ATTAGTCCTATAATAAAATTAATTATTAACTACTTGATAAGTAAAATAGATTTATGAAAATATTTTTATTTATTTGAAATGTTTGTCATTGTACTATATATTTGGTTAATGATCATTTATATCAAACAGTAAAAAAAATTGATTTGAAATGCCAAACGTGTAAATTGCCTCCTAAAATTTTCTTGTTAAAATAAATCACCACTTAAAAAAAAAATGTTTAGTCAATTTGTCACTCCAAAATTTTATTTTTAAGAAATTGACCTAAATTTAACCGTTATCGTTAAACTCTTTTTAATTATTACTATTGCACTCTAATGGAAAGTTAAATATAATGGTTAAATTTGGGCTGATTTCTTGAAAATAAAAATTTTGAGTGATAAATTGTATTAACAATTTTTTTAGGTGGTGATTTGCTTCAATTTAATAATTTTGAGAGAGAATTTGCATCTTTTGCCTATTTGAAATTAGTACTTTCAATTTTGTAGAGCATTTAATTTTATTATCTAGATTATATTGAGTAAAAAAATGATTGATATATTCTCTGATTTAATATACATGTTAACACCTACTGGTTTAATAATTAAGATCTGTAGCCGTTCAAAAAATAATAATAATTAAGATCTGTAACTTTAAGTTTTTTCAGTTTTTAATTTTAATTTAAAAATAATAATTTTTAATAAATATGTTGAAAAATGTATTGAATTAAAAGTTATATCAATTATGTTCTATTAAGTAATATTTATTAATAGATATCGTGTTTCAAATTAAAACTTAAATACATATAAATTTTAATAAGTTTTTTTTTATATTTAAATCTCTTAAAATTTTAAGTTTTATATTTAAATTTTAATGCTATTTACAAAGCGAAAAATTCATTTTTAGCTTATACATTTCAAATAGAACTTCAACCCTAAGATTATTTTTTCGCTGCGTCCCTGGCTGGATATATTGTTGGTTTTGCAAAAGAAATTAAACTTCACTTTGATTCCAACAATGGTGATGAGCTGTGCAGATTCAAAATTGGATTTGAAATTGCTTTTAAAAGGGGATGAGGTTGATTCTCTTTCAGTTGTAAATATTTTGCATGATATTTATGCAACTAATAGATCTCATAACTCCTTAGTTACCTCATGCATATGGTTGATTTAGATGTTTGATATGGTGCATATTAAGTTAACC